TCTCCCCTTAAATCCAGTTTAATCCTAAACCAACTAAAAAAAAAAATATATAAGTGTTGGATCAACACTTTGATCCAGCCATCATGATTTGGAAAAAAAAAAAAAAAAAAGCAAGTTTATCTTAAGAAACTGCCGTGGGGGGCAGCTTTAGCTGACCTCAGTGCCAAAATCCAAGTAATTTTTTTTAAAAAAAAGATTGCTCATTAGTTCATTTCTAATTGTATAATTGCATGGCCTGAGCTTGTCTTGACATTTGAGTTGGGAAAGAAATACCTATATCAAACTAGGAATTGGAAAGAAAGTATACCCCAACGTATTAGAGGGAGATATGATATTTGCATATTGGCATGTAATATTTACAGTCCAATCCTATGCAAATCTAACCCAAGTAAGTTCTGCTGAATTTACTGAGGCTTAATTTCACATACAGGTGCATGGAGTTGCAGTGCTTCCCGGCTGATTGATTAAATTAATCCATTAGAAGAACATCTTGATCATTTAAAAATCCTATACAGGTAGCTCGCCTGAAAAGGGCGCGAAGCAACGGAAACCCCGCCTCCTGCGCTTGCCACCTGGGCTCTGCTCTAGGAAGGAGGCTCTGGCAAACCACTTCCGAAACAATTGCCTTGAAAACTGCAAGGACTCGTCCAAGCAGTCACTGCAGGGTCAGTAATGACTGAGCGCAGACAAAAAAAAAAAAAAGAAGGGAAAAAAAAAAAAGAGAGAAAAAAAAAAAAAAAGAAGGGAAAAAAAAAAAAGAGAGAAAAAAAAAAAAAAAGAAGGGAAAAAAAAAAAAGAGAGAAAAAAAAAAAAAAAGTCCTCACTTAACGACAACAATAGGGACTGGAAAATTTGTTGTTAAGCAAGGCAGTTGTTAAGTGAGTCATGCCCAATTTTATGACCTTTTTTGCAGCAGTCATTAAGCGAATCTCTGTGACCATTAAGCAAATCATGTGGTCATTAAGCAAATCATGTGGTTTCCCCATTGATTTTGCTTGCTGGAAGCCAGCTGGGAAGGTCGCAAATGGTGATCACGTGACTACAGGATGCTGCAACCATCGTAAGTGTGAGCTGGTTGCTAAGCACCTGGATTGGGATCACATGACCATGGGGGTTCTGCGGCGGTTGTAAGTGTGAGGGCCGATTGTAAGTCCCTTTGTTCAGCACCGTTGTAACTGTGAGAGGAAAATTTTAGTAGCCTTCTATATGTTTTAATGTTAGTTTTGATTGCATTTGATAAGGCCAAGTTAGCTTCTTGTGACCTGTAGGGCAATGACAGGAAAA